GATTACTTTCACCAGGTGCGATGACTTCAATTGATGTTAAATCATTCCATAGACGTGATTCGTCAACATGTCGATAGGCTCTATTCATTTCAACAATTCGATATCGCATTTCGATATTGTGCAGTTTTAAACCCTTGAAATTAGATGTATTATAGATATATGAGAAGAAATTCCGTTAAAAGTGCTTTCTGGATGCGATGTTCTCTGTTACGTGTTTAAAAAAGCATTTCAATGCTTATTTATAGACAACAAAACAACGAGAGGCATACCGTAAAGGCACCACGAGAAAAAACATTATGATTATTTTCGTAGAGATAGAAGCCAAAAACGGTGCATAGCCTAGGCCACAACCAATTCTCAGCATAAGTTTGAATCCAAACTATCCATAGGCAAGATGTCACTCGGGCCAACCATCCACGGACCAAATATAAATTACGCCAAAGATTTAGCCACGAGCGTTATCGTACAAGATTCAGAGATCATTTTTTAAAATCCCAACACGGGTCACATGTGCGAACGAACTTCTAATCATCGGCAAATGTGGTTCAAAAAGTAATTGCAACCTTCAATTTGATGAGTCGAAGAGACGACCACAGTAAGAAACCACCATGCAGTCCCAGTTTGTCAGTATGTTTCACATAATACCGATTCAATTTTGTATCCGGAACCGAAAATAACCGCTTCAGTTGTGTTGCTGGCAATGCAGTCCTTGCATCGCCCTTCAGAAAGTATTCGCTCGTATACGGCACTCCTTCTGGATCCACTTCGGTCTCTTCTCGACGACGTTTTCGTATGACGCGATACAGAGCATGACTAATTTCGGTGTAAATTATCTGAAAAACTCAATGTTTGAGCATCACTTATGTAAACTGTTATTGTTTAATTCGATGTTTAGGTTCCAGTTTGTTTATGGGATATTAATTGGTATTATTGCGAAGAATGTTAACCAGAGCAGCAGTTAATTGTATCCTTCCTCATAGTTTCAGCGAGATCACCTATTCATGCGGCTGGAAATGATAAACTCTGTTGCATATGTGATGTTGCGATTAGCCCTTTGCAAACAGCCAATGCTCCGAACAATTAAGAAATACGTTCAAAACGCTTTCCATTCGTTCGGTTACTATCGTGACACTCCGAAACAGCTCATAAGGAAGTTGTGGAGAGAAAAGCCACNAGTGCTTAGTTAGGCTAATTTGTGGGAAGGACATCGTCGAATTCCCTCCACAGCCGATCGGCTTTGGAAAAAAACCACTGATTGCTTCGTATTATGGAAAATGAATTAAACAAAAACTTTTGAATCGTTTTCGTATTTCATGAACGAGTCTAAAAAGTTGCCACATGAAACTAACTTCATACTGATAGTTTCGAACAATCCGTCCGTCAACGTAGTTTTGATATGGCGACTGTGCGAGATACATGCGTAACAGGGAGTCGGGCGTCGAACTGAAAATTTACCTCGGAACGTTCGCCATTCGTTCAGTTACTATGGTTTTGTCCGAAAAAAATTTCACGGGAGGACTTCTAATTTCACGAACAATCGAAGAAATATGTTTCTGAGGCAGCAACAGCTTTCATGAGCATCGAAATGTGCGATCAGAATGAATACGTTAGTTATGGTCTCCAAGTTCTTACGAGCCGCTTCGTTTATTGCGTTCAGAGATGACCTCTAATGGAAACATACTTCGTTTCAATGGTATCGTCGCTACTAAAATTGAAAAGACGTCCACTGTTCGTCACACCATAAATGACATATTTTGAATCCACTTTCACATCCTAAAATTTCCGCCGAACAATTATACACAGGCCAAAGATCACAAGTGAATCACCTTTCAGTTGAGCATTCACATTTCTTTCCTCCATGAAAAAAAAGCAGAAACTACAAAATTGCACTTGGTCCTGTCCTCCTTTTAGATTTTCCCAGGAAATTCTAGTGATCCGCAGTATGTTCTCAAGGATATGCCTAGTTGTTGTACACATGACCGATGCGATTATGAATATGCTGATTGAACTTTGTATCTACCATCAAATTATTGAATGTTTTATATAAATTGATTAACAATTACTAAATATTTCAATGAGCATTCTTCTTCGGATATATTCTTTGTAGGTGCGCAAATAGCGATTAAGAAAAAGAAAACTGTTAGTGTTGTTGTTGTTGTGATAATGCGTTCTTGGTCTGAAATCAAAAACAGCAATCAAAACGTTTTCATTGTTCTACCAATCAACCGAAATGTAATCGCATTGCAGTGTAATAGACTTGTGGATAAGTAAATTAATCGGTTTGGAATGCGAAGTGAATGTGAATTGGAATGTTTTCATTAGATATCAGCAACGAAAACAATACATCAACCACCATTCACTAGTTTCGATCGGATCTAATGAACCAATTAAAGCATGTTGAAGGGAGACGATGAACCGACTTGATCCGCTACCAACCATCGAACACTTTTACTAGAGAATGTTGTGAAAGAATTCGTGCCGATTGCATTGTTCTCGTGGATTATGCAAAAAATTGAAAACCGTTATGCAAAATCAGTGAATATTCAAATAGTTTTCTGCTACAAAATCAATTTGAAACGGATCATTTATTGTTAGAGTTCTTCGGGTTTTCGAATTGCATGAAAATTTCAATTCAGTCATCGGAATCGAGCATATTTTGAATGTGCAGATCATAAAACAATTTTGCAATGTACTAGAATAAGTTCAGTTCAGCTGATTCTGTAGAAATTATTTACAGTCAAGCATTTCATATAAGTATATGACACCAAGCAGTGTGTGAAACGGATCAATTCAAAGAGGTGAAAAAGCACCCGGGAAAGTAATCTTTGCTGTCGATCTCAGATGATAATGACATTACTCGTTGGACATGGGATAGCAAAGCAAAACGATGTTGCCGTTGTTGAGAGAGCGGATGTTGCACGTGATCCGCACGTTTTTTATTCGCTACTTTCAAATTTATGAATTGTTGCAAATTTACGCCAGTTCTTACTTTCTGCATCAGTTTTTTGAATAGTGAGAGGAATGTTAGTGATTGAAGGATTGTTTTCAACTGATAAAATTTATTGCAGATAATTAAGTTGAATGTAATTAATTGTAAGATGTTTATTAATAATTTGAAGTGATCTTGTTTACACTGCAAAACTTTTTGCGATTTGGACTTTGTTCAGTGTTGCCAATCACGTTTTCGGAAACGTTGGAAAGTGTCAACTAGTGATGGGTGGTGACGAAAACTTGCTCGGCTGGAAAAGTGTCATCAGAGGTTCTCGCTTGCGAAACGGCGAATTTTTCATTCGGACACTACCACCACTAGTCACGATGAGGCTGCTTGCCAGTTGGGTCGCGAAGAAGAGTCAGAGTCGGGGNNGGCCCCTCGTGCTGGAGTGTCCCCGACTTTCAGTGATTCTGGTCGAACCTCCGGGGCGAAACCAGCCACGGCGGCTCCAGAAGTTGGAGACCCAGTGGGAAGGTAACAGAGTCGGAGGCCTCGAAACCTTCCAACCCCCCCCCCGCCCAACCTTAATGCATATTACGAGGTGATTAACCACTACTTTTTGAAATTTATATACTTTTATTGGTGTTATAATATTCATAAAATACAATAAATTAGAACCACAACATGAAGTTGTTAATTTTGACGGAAGAGCAGCATTCAGTCGGAACATGAGAACGCTTGCCAGCAAAGATTCTGTTCGCATTGTTTAAAATCACAAACATCACAGAAGCATTTCAACTGTCCAATGGGAATAGACATCATCAAATGTAAATAACAAAAGTTTAATCAAGTCAATCATCTCTAAATACAGATAATATGGTGGAAACCGATGTGTTTTTATCCCATGTAACCGCCGCCACTCGAAATAATACCACCAGTGGGATAACCGCCACCACTAGGGATCATACCACCAGTGGGATAACCTCCTCCCCCCATCGGAAGCGAATAGCCACCACTGCTCGGCAATGCATAACCGCTACCACCACTCGGTGGCATCGCATATCTGCAATTGAATCGACATTCAATGTGCCCTTTTGATCTGCGCTCATGTGCAGATGCTGAATTTACATCTTTTAACCAACGCAAAACTCAGTGCTGAATCATCCTTCTGAATCTAAAACAACTCAAACAAGAAACAATAAGCAATAACGAGTGATAAGCAATGATCCGTCTGATTTCAAATCAGCAAGAAATAAGGAACGATACGCACAATAATCTGAATCTCTGAGAAGACTAACTGAGTCAGTGCAATAGTTAATTGCATTATTTGCTTAATTCAAAAGATTCTTTCATCCAATACGACACAAAATCGTTGATGTATATTCGAATGATGTGCTCATTTCAAGTGATCTATTCGGCATCCAACTAATCCGAGGCACTTACCCGCCTGGGTATGAACTCCCACCGCAACTCATCGATGAACAACTTCCTGAGGGAATTTGTGGTGCACCCATAGGACAACAACAGCAACAGCACATCGTTGGTGGCCGTGGTAGTTGAATTTTTGGTAGGCACATTTGAGGTTTACAGCAACATTGCGCCATTGCAGCACCAGTGCAACATCCCATCGAGCCACCTCCGAAACAACCTTCGCTCGTTGAGGCGAATGAAATGATTCCGATTGCGCACAGCAATGAGAACCTCTGAAATACGAATTGAATGTAATAATTAACTGCAATAATTTTCTACTTCAATTTTTGAAGCCTTATAAAATGGCTTTTGAAAAAGACGATTTTAAGACTTCCAAAAAGCACTGAATTTGATATCGCTTAGGTCAGATACACAACAAAACTTATAGCTACAAGACTTTCAAATCTCTAACGGAGACACGTCTTTCGAAAGCAGCCTCCGCAAAGGAGGGAATTTTCCGTCAAAGAATTGAATGAAATTCAACTAGTTCATCGAAAATGCTGAGAATTTGGTACGAAGACACTGTATTTTGGTTTAGAGAATCTAAGGTTCAGTGGAACATGGCATTCAAGCCCTGAAAATGCCTTCGGAATCATAATTTCAGTTTGGCGACGTGAATTTTGAAATATCAAAATATGACAGACTGCATTAAAATGAGACATCAGAACGCAATTAGAAGGATGCGAAACTCCGAGATGCTTACCATAACGTTGGTTGTATTCGAAGCGTTGAACGTTTGTTGTCGAATGAAACTTCAGAAGCTCAGAGCTCTTATATATCCTCTGTATCCACATTAATGGAGCATTTTTGGAGGAATTTTTTCATTAATTTTTTTCGTCTGAGCGTTAATAATCTTGAGAATAATCCAATCGAATCCATCGCAAATGTGTTCGCTCACAATGAGGACGATCAGGAATGACAGTCATGCAAACGGATATTGCTGCCGTCACTTGACGCATCATAATCTTTTGTATGCGATTTGTACGCATGAGAATTTGACCAGCGACTATCCACTGCATAAGTTTGACTCATTTCTTTCAANAATCCTCACAAAGAATTTTTTGAGTTCGCTTTCCAGAAACTTTTACGTGGAAAATTTCACTATCTTTGGTGAGTAGTGTAGTTGATTATATTTGGAATCAGAAAACCACATCGATTTGCAATAATTAGTTTTGGATCCAAATATCTATGCGGCAATTTACGGTGGTTTCCCTGTACAAAGTGCAGTTGGATAAAACTGCATCTAGGCTCATCAATTGTCTCACAGCTAGCTAAAAATAACTTCAGCTTAAAAAAATCTTTCAAACTTGAAAGCTCGGCAGCATTGTTTTGCATTCAAGAACATCACTCATCATGCTACGCATATAAATCGTTGTACCGATTGAATATCAGCCAATGACATTTTCATTTGCTTACTTACTTACTTATTCATTTACTTATTTGTTTATCCATTTATTTATCTACTTTTCGACTTAATGCCTCAAATAATACGTAATTTACGTGAATGTAAGTGCAAACTCAGAATTTTTCCGGTAGTGAAAGGAACGCCAAGGGGGTCTCGGATCAAAAACGGCTTAAGCATTTTTACATTATATATAATGAGCTGATAATTAGATAATGGATACAAGCCGGATCATAGCCTGGCTCAG